CCGGATGGCGGAGGGGGCATAGGCAGGAATCCAAGGGGCCAGGAAAGCCGGTAAAAAGGGCGGGAAAAAACAGGGTAAACCGGAGGGAGGGAAGGAATTTCACTCACGATACCCAAACAAGTCCGCAAAGAAAAGACAATGTCCGTAGGCAATCCGAGGTCAATACCAGGAGAATAGATCCGAAAAAGCGCAGCAAAAGCAATCCAAAGAAGAAATTTTAGCAGAGCGAAGCGAAAGGAACCATTTCACACAGCGGAGAAATGGAACTGAGGTTTGGGCGGGCGGAGCATGCGCAGTGTAGGTAATGTTTAACTATGTTTCCTTTGCAGAGCTCTAGAAGATTCCGAAAGGGACCGACGCTGGCGCTGACTTAACCCTTTATGTGTGCATTCACAGAAGACCACGATGAAGAACCTATAGTTTTAAAAATCATTCACCTTAATTTTTAGTATAACGGAGATTACTAGTATAATATCATAATGATAAAAAAATTACAATTTAATTGATGGTCAGTATGGTTGGATCCTACATGGCCTTGTAGTTTATACTCCAGGGCTAGAAAGGCAAACACCTAGTTCAATGATAAGGCTTCTTTCTCTGTACTTCAACTGTGTATCTTACAGGCAGCAACTTTGATCAAGGCTCTTTTGGGGATATTCAGTAAGATTATAATAGCATACCTGACTAGTCTGTTACTATATCCTATGTAACTCTTTTTCTTCCATTTTCTTTCTATCTTTTGTATTTGAAATTAATTTTAAAATATATGGCACCACCATTGGTACTAATAATGAAATGTACTTAATCCTATTTTTGTTAGAGAAAACATCTCACTAAGCCATGAAATTCCAGTGTGATTCTCACCTGCTTTTGCAAATAACATAATAGAATATGCATTTTGATATATAAAATATAATTGTTTTTGTGTAGAATACAGGCTGGAATCCAATGAGCTATTTTAGGTACCGTATTTTTTCAAGTATGGTACTTTTTTCTAAAATCTTTAGACTAAAAATTTAGGGTCGTCTTATACATGTAAATAAGTCAAGGACAGAACCAAACTGTCCATATCTTGCCTCTGTAAACAGGCTTCCTTCAATCACAAGACTTAGCTGCCTCCAATCACAAGTCTCAAGTAACTGATGTCAGCTGATGCTGAACAAACCAATTGGAACACACCTCATTGGAGGTGGAGCGTGCTCAGATGCAACTGGGACTGGTAATGTCGGAGCATTCTGAGCCCAGAGGCTGAATAAATTACTATGCTCAAAGCTAAGTGTGATGCATAATATGACAGAACTAGTATGTAAATATTACCTAATTACTAAATAAAAACATGTTCTATGTTTAAAATACTGATTTCTTATCTTATACACGGGACATAACTACTTTTTTCTAAAAGCAGATACCAGTGTCATATGTAAATCCATTTTTGAAAGTCCATTCAGTTTAGCTGTTACCTAGCACATGGGACTGCTGTTAGAGAAACATATGGTCAAAGTCTCATTAGGTGCATAGAATTAATCAGACAGTTCTTTGACTTATGAACAAAAATGTACATGTGAATGTGCATTTCTGGAATGTATCAAAAGCGAATAAACAGTAATTCAATTTCACCATCTGAAAAACGGTGCTACCTAAAAATATTAACCAATCCATTTTCCTTCTACTCTGTGAGAACAATCAACCTCATAGAGTGTGCAAGGTTTTTTACTGTACTCAAAATATCTCCCATCATCTGCTTTGCAAACCTACAAAACATTTATGCATGGCAACAATGGCAACCCGAAGCTACTTACTACCATTGTTTTTTAAACTATTTATTTACTGTATAACCTGTATTATATTTGTAATTTATCCAAACACTCTTTTCTTTATTGCTTGCTCTCCCAAGCCTGTGAAATAGGTTTCTATTATTCCCATTGCCCCCCCCCCAAAAAAAGGTAGGTGGAAGCCAATCACTTGCCAAAGTCACACAATAAAACTATGACAGTTCTGGTACAATTTAATCAAAATCTCCAGGATGCAATCTGCCACCCTTCAATCCTCTTTACATGTGCCAGAATCTAAATGAGCTTGACAGATGCAGCTGACTTCTAAGAGCCTTTACTACCCCCTAAGGGAATCTGTATACCACCAAGGTGTATAGTTGACTGGGTAATGGCCACAGTTTAAAAAACAAAAAGAAGATCAATGAAGTAAATACAAGATTTATTAACTCTAAAGTAGCATGAACCTGTTCATAAAACATTCTTTTCTATATTTGTATTAACCTATTAAAGGACACAATAACTACAATAAATGCACTTCACATATATTAAAGATGCAGACAAACCCTTCCCAATCCAGCTAAATTATTATTTGTATGACAATGCTTTTTTTTACAGGTTTCTGCTTATTAGCAGCAGTTCTGTAAAGAGAAACTTACGATGAAGGTAAAAGAACTGTAAATATCTATGTAACAAAAGACATCATAATACAGCATTTACTATCATTTTGAAGTATTTTTAGAAAACTAATATCATACCAAAAGATCTAGGAAATCTGATGAAGACCTAAGCAAAGCATTACTCATTATGTGCATTTTATATAGTGTAATGTTGTGTTCAAAATTCAAGTTTCACAATAATAAAGAAATGGCACATATAAAAATAAAGTTTCTATAGTAGATTTGTAGTGTGGATGACTGAAACATCTTGCCACATTCAGTTGTATGTGTAAAAACTGCTGATATATATATATATAAACTTACAGTGTAAAACTATACCAGAGTACAGGCAGGAAGTATACATGCAAAGCCATGTGTTCTGCTACTTCTTCCAAAATTATATTTAGATTGAGCTTTGTTCAATAGTTTGTCAAGTGTATTTTAGAGTACATTAAAAACATAAAAGAAATATTAAAGTCATAGATCAATTGACTATGTTATGATTGTACTTATTTTTAGCTCCTGGTTCAAAGAAATGAACACCAATTTTATGTTCATGCTTTTTCAGAATTTCAGAACAGGCAGTTTTTCTAGTAATAGCAAAATCCTGTTTCCTTTATTATAGCATTTCTTTACCTATTTATGAAAAGGTACTTGGAGTTATAATCCTACACAAACATTAACTTTTTTTAAATTCCTAAATTGATGCCAAATATGATTCTGCTACACAAAACAATGTTTTAAGATTAGGTGTAGTATAATTTCACTCTACAACCAATCTTAGAGACACAGCCAACATTTATTTTCTACTACAAGCACACAAGAAAACTGAATAAAAAAATTATGAAATCAGAATAGTAAACTCATAAACAGCTATGCTCTCCATAAAGAAATAGGAAGCAAGAGGAAAAGGAATTTATCCTGTTGCTTTTTTAATACACTTAACGAATATTGAAACTTTGGGATATTGGTCTACCTGATGTACCTGTACATACTGAAAACTCTGTATAACAACCAAACTTGTTTCTGAACTGGTACTCTAATGCACTCCATGAACATTTTGATATATTTTCAAAAATAATGGGGTACATCTAACATTACATCTGTGGACTTCCATTTTGTGTCTCCTAGAAGAGATGAAGAGGATATGTGAGGGAAGGGGAAATTGCAGCCCCCTCCCAGTTTCTGTTTGACAGAAGCAGATCCAACAGAATTATGTCACTGAATGCAACCCAATGTATTTTGGGTTTAATTTTCTACATAAAAACAAGAATCCAAGCAAAACTCTGATTGCTTGGTAAAATGGGTTACATACAATTGTTTCATGATATACTTCAAAATAAGGTCACAATAACAGAACACATGGCCTTTTCCTGGCTACTTCTATGGTGTTTACAAAGATATTTACAATTGAGTAAATCCTGTCACATACAGGTTTCTTGAGATGGTGACATATTTATACAGATGTATTTTAAAACCTTGCAAATATAAAACCAGAAACTGGTACGCTTAACAGTTCAAGTTATTTAGATTTAACATAAAACTATTTAAATCTGTTAGTTCTAGATTATTAAACATTTTTACAAAACATATAAATTACTTTTGTTATATGATGTTCTGTCTGCTGTACAAAAGGTACAGAGTGAAAAATAAATAAAGCATTATGCAGGAGTCTGAATTTACTCTTCCTTAACTCCAATTATATGTAATGGCATATGCACTAAAGAGAAGGTGCATATGAATGTACTTTTTACATGTCCAATGTTAAAAGGCAGCATCAGTACTTGTTAAAGGAATTATTTAAATATAGATTTGTTGTTGTAACAACTAACGCTGTAATACTGATTCTAATGTTACCTTGCCTTACACCAAAACTGCAATTAGAAATTATCTATTAAAGCAAAAATACTGAGCTGCAAACATGAAGAATGGATAAAACAATGCATGTCATAAGTCAATAGTATAAATGACAGAACTGGGTTTCCACTTGAATAGAATGAAGTGGGGATGTTTATTCTGTCAGAGGAAGGTTAGGTTCAGATAAACAATACAAAGGTTATAAAGATATGCGAGCTACTGATAATTAATTTGAATCCTTGTAGCAAAAAGAAAAATGGTATTCTTCCTCCTGACATGATACAGGCAGTGTACAAAGATTGAACTGACGTTTTTCAATAGTATAATATATCATATTATTAATGCAGTGCTTGTATTTTCCCACATCTTAAACATTTTATGTGCAGCATTTAGTATTTTTAGGAACATCAACCACAGATCTAAAAGTTATGTGGACACAGGCACATAGTCCTGTGCTTAGTTCTTTTAAAGCACTTTTTAAAAAAATCCTGAAACACAGACTGGTCTGATTTTAACTGAAATATGTAAATAAGAATTTCCACCAGTAGAAAAGTTTAGTTAAAATACTAAGTGTCCAACACAGTGGGTTTTTCAGTTTAGCAAAAATGACTTTTAATGTTAATCTTGAAATTTATCAGATAAAAATGGATTTTGAGTATGTTTCGTAAGACAAATATGCTAGCTTTAACTGCATTAGTAAACAGTGCATGCAACTTTTATGTATTACAAATTACAAATCTGTGTTACCATATACGTATTCCAAATGATAATGGAAACCATGATTTTATCCTGCAATTTATGTTCACAAACTTAAGTTTGTATAAGTAGGGTTTTAAAAAAAATTCTTACAAAAAGCAAGCACATTTTGACTTACCGGTGCTCCACAAATGTGATGTGCCACCAAGTTACATACCTTTTTGATTCTAACAAACTAGTTATTTGGGAGATACCTAAATTTCTATTTCATAGAGTCTGTAGAAGTGGAAGTTGCGAGAATTGTGTCATCTGATCTATAATCTCTTCTAGGATGAAAATGAGGACTACGGGTATATCGAGGCTTTAAAGTCATAGATGAAGGATGAGAAAAATTTCTTCTTACAGAATGTATTCTTGCTTCCTGAAAAAGAGAAAATGCACATTTCAAAAAAGAAGTTTATATAATTACATTCTAAGCAAAAAAAAAGGACAACCATGCTAATTATGTTCTTAAATATACTGTAACTTTAAACCTACAGAAGTCAAAAATTAGCAAATTAAAAAATGCCCTACAAGGTACAGAATAGCATAAAAATAATCATCTAAAACATTTTTAAAACACACACATATATTTCAAAAACCTAAGGCAGAGTCCAGCATAAATGCCCAATGTAATTAAAAAGCCTGTTTCAGAAGAAGTATCTTCAGATGTTGCCAGAAGGAAAGAGGGAGGGAGCCAGCTTAGCCTCCTGGTGGAGGGCATTCCATACCTGGAGAGCTGCCACAGAGAAAGACTTCTCCCATTCTCAAACAAACATGCCTGAGTGGACAGTGAGACTAAGAAGCTGAGAAGCCTCCTATAGGGAGATATGTTCCTTCAGATAGCTCGAACCAAAGGCACATAAGGCTTTATAGGTCATACACCTTATGAATAAAGCCTGTAAACTGACTGGCACTGTGACTGGAGCATCAAGATTTGGAATACAATCAAACAATGACCCTAATTTTTCAGGAGATATACAACCCCATCCTTGATCAGGGATTCAAAACAATGGATTTTCTCTCCTCCCTCTATGTTGCAATGAGGCTTAAAGCTCCCCCACACACCCACACATTTTACTGTAGTGTAGAAGGGCATAGAGGAGTAAACTTTCCTCTCCCTTTCGCTGTAACCTCTTCTTGGTAAGCCTGTCTTCCCTACTATAACATGTATAGGCCCCACAATGATACAACAGGGATTTTTAAAAGAATCTTTAGTGGATTAATACATTAACTTTCTTCTCCAGCCCTGGAACCTTCTCCTTCATAGAGACAGAGTTTACAAGATTGGCACCATTATGACAATTCATCAGCACCAGATGAATAAGGCTAAAATCCTAAATGGGTCCTGCTATAATTTGAGGACAGAACTGTTCATGACTGGGCGGGGAAAATTACTGTTATACAAATTTACTTGAGTTAGGCTTCAAAGAATGACAAACAAATAATTAAAATGTCATGATATACATATCAGTCCCAGAAGCAGTGCATTTACTCCTTTAAGCCTTTATTGGTAACTGATGAAGAACAGCATGGTGTATTAATACTGGAATATAACATTCCTTTGTGTTTACTATGGGGCATACATTCCCAAAATAAGTATGTGGAGTCCCGCCTCCATTTGTTGCAAAATTTTCCTCTGTTAGTTTTAGATACTGAGGTTCAACTGAACTGCATTTTTGTGATGGAAAGCTGGGGGAGGAGGGGATGAGGAATTTGTTCAGATACGGTAGCTTAAACCACTATATAATGTCTTTCAAGATAAGTTGTAGAAAGCTATTATGTTACCTAACTACTTTTATCAGAATGAGAAAAACATCCTGAAGCCAGCCAGTTTGAGCCATCAACAACAATGCTGATCTTAAAAAAATAAAAATAAAGGGTTCTTGATACAAGGTAAGACACTGAATTACTTTTTCTCTCCTTTATTACTGCCCTGAAAACACTGGATCACAGATTCTACTTAACCTTACAGTTGTTTGCAAAATCTTTGAAGGCAAAGCAAGCTTTGTCTGGTGAAGACCATGTTGAAACAAATGTCTTTGAAATTTCTCACATTCTGGAACGGCTGGCTGTTTCACCATGATACTTAGATATGGGACAGGCATGGAAAATTCATGCTGGATATGAATATGATTGTTGATCTGACTGTAATTTATATTCTGTCCTGCTTCCTTATTTACCTCTCCTTTATTGCACTGCAGTCTTTTTTTCTGGCTGAGGTGTCCCCTCTGATCCAAGTGACCATCAATTGTGGATTCAAAGAGGGCAACAGAAGAATACATCTATGGTAAGACCGGAGTTGCAGTTAAGATTGAAGGGTAATTATATCCAGCTGCATTAAAAGAGCCCTCTCAACTCTTATTACTACTGAAATACCCTCTTATAACCTCTGATCACTATAATGGAGATCCTTCATTAGGTTAGGTAGTTTCTGACGATCAACTGTGTTGTTTGGACATGGTCAAACAGTGTGCTGAATCTATAAAATTAAATTAGAATCTGGCAGGCATTGAACTGAGCTATAGATTGAAGGTTCACATATTCTCTGCTTCTGGAAGAAATACAGTAAGTGGAAGCTACTAAGTGTTTGAGTATAATGGTATGTGGAACTGTAAGATAGTTGGATAATAACTGGAAGTATGGGTGTTTGCATTTGTGTGTGTATTTGTGCTTGATAAAGAGCAGAAAGTGAATTGAACAAGCTCCATTTGATTGCATTTTTAGCTTTTTCAGAATTAATCAGCACCCCTAAATAATGTATGTAGGCCTGACTTGCGATGCTACATATCCTGGACAGAGGCACTGCCACATACTGTACATTATAAGCTTCTGCATATACCTGGATGGAACAGCATTCATTTGTGCAATGGTAAGACCGGAGTTGCAGTTAAGATTGTACATTATAAGCTTCTACATATACTTGGATGGAACAGCATTCATTTGTGCACCATAAAAGGGATGGTGCTGAATCTCAGACTAGTTATGCAGGAAGACTGTCCTCAATAATGACAAAGTGGTGTTGTTTGGACATGGTCAAACAGTGTGCTGAATCTATAAAATTAAATTAGAATCTGGCAGGCATTGAACTGAGCTATAGATTGAAGGTTCACATATTCTCTGCTTCTGGAAGAAATACAGTAAGTGGAAGCTACTAAGTGTTTGAGTATAATGGTATGTGGAACTGTAAGATAGTTGGATAATAACTGGAAGTATGGGTGTTTGCATTTGTGTGTGTATTTGTGCTTGATAAAGAGCAGAAAGTGAATTGAACAAGCTCCATTTGATTGCATTTTTAGCTTTTTCAGAATTAATCAGCACCCCTAAATAATGTATGTAGGCCTGACTTGCGATGCTACATATCCTGGACAGAGGCACTGCCACATACTGTACATTATAAGCTTCTGCATATACCTGGATGGAACAGCATTCATTTGTGCACATAAAAGGGATGGTGCTGAATCTCAGACTAGTTATGCAGGAAGACGGTCCTCGTCAATACTGACAAAGTGTGGACACGAGCACAGAGGACACGCTACTGAGTTTAGCAGAGCATTTCCTCAGTTTGTGGCAGTCGCATATTCGGGGGACTGGTTAAACCTCCTTAATGTTGAAGACAGCTCCCTAAGCTTTGCCATGAAAAAAACTGCTGAGCTCAACCTCCAGGTTCAAAAGCAGTAGATCCCAGAATACTAGCAGCCAGGGGAGGACGACAGCAGAGGAAGATTATTCTAATGGTGGGAGTTCCAAATGTTTCTCTTGGCAGTTGCAGAAAATGGGATCATGGAATAGGTAAACTGCAGTCTGACTCGGAATGGTAATTTTTATCTTCCTACTGGATCGGTATATTCAGCACTACACTTGATCTTGCCACATGGAGTCAAAGTGAGCAGCTGCCAATATGAAAAATTTCCCCTGAGTGTTTCTGGGAAATGAGGATGCCTAGAATGATCCTTTTCAACTTCTTAGCACTCTTCTGTGGAGTGTTCTATTGGTTATTACAACCATGTGTAAGTACTTGAGAATGACTGCAATACACAAGGACACTTTCTGACATCCTACCGAAGCTGAAAGCTTAGCACCCAGAAATGAACACAGAGGCAACATTCTGCTCTAAATATAGACAGGTCCTTACCTGTAACTGCAGTGCTTCTAATAGTCACTTGTGCAGTAACACAAATGGGTCTGCACAAAGCTTCAGTTGGAATCTTCTAGAGCTAAGTATCTTTCAGCAACAAACCTGCCCTTATCCTTGCATTCTGCATGTCCAGGAAGACCCTAACAGATTTCTCTCAGTTTTGGGCACTTCCAGTGCTAAGAAAGAACTGTGTAATAAACTGGGAAGGAGGGTAGACTGTGTGAATTTACAGATGACCACTTAAAAGAAAAAGAGGTTACTTACCTGTAACCATAATGAGTGGTCCTCTGTGAATTCACACATATGGGTATTGTCTGCGCCTGTGCTGACTCTCTCGGAAGATTCTAGAGCTAAAAGTAACAATTTTATGGTGTGATCCTCCACGAGGTATATGCTCCTCCCACCCACCATCTTCCCCAGTTCCTCAATTTTATCCGCCGGGTATGAAGGAAAGAATTAATTAAATAATTACATAGTTAACCCGTGACGGATAGAGGGGAAGGATGGGTGGGTTGTGTGAATTCACAGAGGACCACTCAAAGAAAGAGTGGTTACTTACCTGTAAATATGGTTCTCCAAGTGATACTCTGTGAATTCACACATTTGGGTCTTGTCCGCGCTTGCGTGGAACGTTCGGAATATTCTAGAGCT